GAAAAAAATGCAGTTTCCAATTTAGTAGGTCCTGGGCAGGCCCTGAGAATCTGCATTCCTGACAAGCTCTCTGGTGATTAGATGCTGCTGGTCTGCAAACCACACCTGTAGTAAGTAGCAAGGCTCTAGCTATTTTATTTTATTTTACTTTGTTTCTAGTACATGTCACAATGTGATAGTATCATATTTATCTGTGCATATGTTCACTGTGGCTTTCTCCCTGCTAGATACAAACTGTCTGAGTGAGGTGCCTTGTCTGCTTTGTGCCTTGTTATATCTCCGGGCCCAGCACAGTGCAGACACAGGAAGCCCTCAATATGTGAGGTCCCCTGGGTGGAAAAGGGGCCAAGTTCTGGAGGGCAGGGACCTAGATGTCCTATTTCCTCCTGCCTCCCTGTGGCATAGCAGGGAGTAGGAATGCATCAAAGGGGTTCAGTATCTGGGGGTGGGGGTAGAACAGCTCTTGACTCTTGCCCCCTTGTGTTTCTCAATAGGTCAGGACTGAAGTAACAGTGCAAAGAAAAACAGCCTGAGGCTCGCAGATAGCAGATGACGCATAAGTATAAAAGTCATTTTTAAAATTAGGAAACTTGTTGCAACCTTAGTCTGAGTTCATTATCTGGCTGCCTGGACCCAAGCCCAGCCAGGGTCGCTTGGACACTGGCAGTTCCCGAGCACTATTTGTTCATCCTACCCCTGGTACCACATTCACATGGTGTTCCTGACCTGACCCTTGGGGCCCTTTACCCCAGTCCATCTGGGGCCCAGATCAGTTTATCCAACTTGGGGAATTCAGATCCCCTGAGGGTGAGGCCACCAGCAGCTTTGTGGAGGTCATTCCAGGAAGTGCCTCACTCAACCTCAGTTTCCCCACCTAAGAGCAGGGAAGCAAGGGAGGGGGAGAGGGGGAAGACTGGGGAAACCCAGTGACGCTTGAGGTCTAGTCTAGCTTCTGCTACCTCTCCCACTCACCGGTGGCCAGGACTTCCTTACTAGCAGTGGCCCAGCTGAACCAGATCATCTCCCAACTCTGGGATGTAGCATCTGGAGAGCAAAGACCCCTGAGTCCAGTGGACCTTGCTGAAGCAGAGCCATCTATCCTGCCCCACCACACCCCCTGAAAATAAAGACCCCATGTTCCTTCTTTCCTGCCTTCCTCCATTCCCCTCCCCACTCCTAGAACTTGTCTGAGTTTGGCCTATCCCCTCAGATCCCGTCTCTCTCTGTCCACGAATCCAAGACGCTGGGCAACCACTAATTCAGCAACATTTCATCCAGGGCCTTCCATCCGCCAGGTAGAGACCTGAAGGCAGTCTCCGTTTGTAGCCTGCTGGCCGGACAATGCCAGCCCCTGTCCTCTCCCTCCTCCCCGGGACTCCTGTATGATTGGCCCTTGTTCACTCACATGGCTCATTTGTTCTCCCAATTACCAATTTGCTCATTTTCTCCAGTTTTCACTAACACCCACCCATCCACTCACTCACTCACGTCCGCCACACTCACTCGTGGAATCTGTCTGGGAATGGACTGGCCTGAGATGGGGTTAGGACATAAATGCAGAGGCAGAATGACACAGAAGGCTCGGCAACCGTGTGCTCAGGTGGAGGCTCCCAAAGTCTGAGCTCGAGGGGCCCTCACAAAGATCAGCCCCCTCATTGAACAGATGGGGTAGAGGAGGCCCAGGGAGGCCTCAGTTGGCCCCGGGCCACTGGGTCAAAGATGAAGAAGCTGCCACTTGCAGGGCGCTTCTGGCCTGCCCACCATGCCGGGAGGATCAGCTCTCCCAGCCCTGTCCACATCACACTTTCTAGTCCTGAGCCAGAGACCGGGGGCTGGGTTCAAAAGGCAGGGTCATGCCCTCAGAGACCTGGACATGGATTCAGAAGGAGTTATACAACCAGGGCTGGCAGGGCCTTCCCTTCAGAGAGCTCCCAACCCTTCCCTTTATAGCCATGGACACCAGAGCCCAGGGAGCCTACCTGCAAGAGGGCCTGGCAGCAGCCCCAAACCCAAACCACAGGGTCCAGCCTCGTGGTCTTTGGCTGTACCCACTCCTCAGCCATCCTGGATGTCTGAATACAAAGGAAGCCCCACTTTCCGGAGGAGAAAACATTTTAAGGATATTTTTCCTGGGTGCCTGGGTGGCTCAGTTGGTTAAGCGACTGCCTTTGGCTCAGGTCATAATCCTGGAGTCCCAGGATCGAGCCCCACATTGGGGTCTCTGCTCAGTGGGGAGTCTGCTTCTCCCTCTCCCTCTGCCTGCAGCTCCCCCTGCTCATGCTCTCTCTCTCTCTCAAATAGATGCAATTTTTTTTTTTTAAGAATATTTTTCCTGGGATGCCTGGGTGGCTCAGTTGGTTAAGCTTCTGACTCTTGGTTTTGGCTCAGGTCATGATCTCAGGGTCATGGGATCGAGCCCCAAGTGGAGCCCCCCGTTGGGCTCTACACTCAGTGCGGAGTCGGCTTGTCTCTCTCCATCTGCTCCTTCCCCCCACTCTGCTCACTCTCTCTCTCTCTAAAAAAATAAAATCTTTGAAAAAAAGAATGTTTTTCCCAATAAAGGTCAAAAACAAGCAAAAAATGTTTTAAAGCTGGAAATGAATCAATCAAATCTTAAGTAACCTGTAAAAATTAAATTGTTTCTCTTACTCTATTAAAACTTGCTCTTTTCTACTCATAGTTTAGGAAACAGTTTTATGCAAAAGCTTCATCCCGCTGACCGGTGGAGGTAATCCTGGGGTCGTGTGTCTTGCTAAGAGTTTTGCTTACGGTAAAATACTGGGAGAGCAACCTGGACGATGCAGACTTTTGGGACAGGAGCATAGCACATCCCTCCTTCCCTGAGGAGTGATTCTGGAAAAGAGGCTCTCGTTAGCATCTGCATTTGCATGCCACTCCTGGGGGGCCAGGTGTGGCTGCAGCCGCTTGGGCTCCCTCACCTGCCGGAGTCCTCACTACTGCCTCCTGTCGAGCCAGGGACCCTGGTTTTCAAGGTGACTGGACATTATGACCAAAGACCCTAGAATGTATGGAGAAGTGAATCTAATGGTCATTATTCAGCTCGTATCTATGGAGCATTTGCAGCGCTGGGCCCTGGGACAGGTACAAAATGAACTGAAATGTGTGTAGCAGGTCCTGGAATGGAGGAATAAAAGAGGGCTTGGGAAAGCAGAATGAAGACAGAAGTGCCAGAAGGCTGTGCACCTTTACTGAGGTCTTGCAATATGCCAGATATTTGATAAACATCACCGGTAATCCTCACAATGACCTGTCAGTAGGAGTTATTACTCATCCCAACTCCTCCTTGCCTGAGAACTAACAACGTGTATTCTTAGGCAGATTAATTTACCTCCGTAGGCCCCAATTTCCTCCTCGATAAAAGGGGAACTCCTACCACACATGTCCTTGTTGGGAGGATTGAATTCTGTTTTAAGCACTTTTGCTTCGAAAAGTAGGCCCTCAATCAGGGTCATGATGATACACCAGAGAAGGAAGCTGAGGCTCAGACAGGATCACTAGCAGACAGGAGCTCAGACTAGGGAGGAGCTAAAGGGAGGTAGAATTCAGTTCAACATAAAGATGAACTTTCTTTTTTTTTTTTAAAAATTTATTTATTTATTTGAGAGAGAGAATGAGAGAGATAGAGAGCACGAGAGGGAAGAGGGTCAGAGGGAGAAGCAGACTCCCTGCCGAGCAGGGAGCCCGATGCGGGACTTGATCCCGGGACTCCAGGTTCATGACCTGAGCCGAAGGCAGTCGCTTAACCAACTGAGCCACCCAGGCGCCCAAAGATGAACTTTCTTACAGCTCTGGCCATAGGCATGGGAGGGATTGGACAAGTGGATGATGGTTAGTCAGGAGGGTGCAGAGGGGGCTCCCACCCTGGGGTGGGGGTGAGGGTGGCTTAGGTGAGAGAAGATCCCCTCCCTGTGCTCCCCTCCTCCTCTCTCCCCACAGCTGGGGCAGAAGGTGCCTAGCAGATCTTTCCACCCAGGTGCTGTGAGCAGGTGCCTGAACCAGAACTTGATTCTGACATTTGTTGCACAACTGTGAACCTCTCTTTGGGCCTCAATTTTCTTTGTTATCCCATAAATAAGTATAGCCAATGCAGTGTGTGAACTGTGATAATGTGACTGGGCAAAGGATTGTTGTCTTCCAGGACTGAAAATCAAAGGACTAGGTCAGTGGTGAAGAAGCACTGTAACTTGTGGAATTACAGGTTAGAGTTGAGAGAGAGCTGCATTCATCTAGGATCAGCCAGGAACCGTGCTTTGTGGTTTAGAAAGCATTTTCATGGGCTTTATCTTCTTTGATCCTCTCAACACCTCGAATTTACAGCTAAGGAAATGGATCCAGTTAACTTGTATAACTTAGGCAACCTTGTACATCAGTCTAGAGCACTGACTGGAGGTGGGAGAGAGATGGGGCTGGGCTGGCATCCCAGCTCTAATGGGGCCACAGGCAAGTCACTCTAACCCAGGGTAGAGCTTGATGCAAGTCAGGTGTTCAATAAGTGTTAGCCAGCAAACAACCAGAAAACACAGCTGGGAAGTGACAGGATTGGGCTTCTGGCTCCCATGTCAGTGCTCTTTGTCCCACACTAAGCTGTTTCATATCAAGACCCTCCTCCCTAGTTCATTTCAAAGCCAGGGCACCCCAGGTTGAACAAGTGCACCATGCACGAGGAGGTTGGCAGTGACGAGGCAGCCTGGTCTCAGAGAATCTGAAAGAATTCATGACTCCCCTGGGGTCAGAGCACCGGTGGCCATTGAGAAACACTTCCCTCTGACTGGCAGGTCAAGCTGAGGAAGGAGGGGGTGGGCTCTTGCGGAGGCAGTCTCGGAGTGCTGAAATGCCAGGGAGCTGGCGGGTCTGTCTTCGGGCAGCTGGATCACCTGATATAGACACGGGTGCTCAAGCCCTGGGATTGGCCTAAAGAAGGGTTGTGTGGCCCCACTGGCTGGGCTTTGGCATGCTGTCAAACTGCTGTCACATCCAGACATAAAAGTAGTGTCGAAATAGTGCTGGGACAGTGTGCTGGGCTTAGCAGGCAAGCAGCAGCCACCATGCAGGTGCAAACCAAGCACTACCCCAAGAACTGCCTGCTGACTGTCATGGACTGCTACTCAGCCATGGTGCGCAACATGGAGCAGGTGGTGATGATCCCCAGCCTCCTGCGGGACATGCAGCTGAATGGGCAGGGGCAGCAGGCTCAGGATGGGCCCCCCGATCTCTATAACTGCTTCACCATGCTCAAGGCCATCCGCGTGGATGTGGACCATGGGCTACTGCCCCGAGAGGACTGGTGGTCCAAGGTGGCAGGTGGGCCAGAGCCCACGGGGCCGAGCATGAAGCTGCAGAGACAGAGGACAAGGAGGAAAGAGTGTTGGGGCAGCTGGACCTGGAAGCTCAGTTCCACCTGCACTTTTCCAGCCTTCATCACATCCTCACCCACCTTACCCTGAAAGCTGAGGAGGTGACAAGGAAATACCAGGAGATAATGGGACAGGCCATGTAGGCTTTGGACTCTAGGGAAGGTAATGGTGGCGTTGGGGGGGATCAGAGTCCACTGAGGGACATTCCAGGGGAGATGCAACCCAGTGGGAGCGGGAGAACCTGGGTCTCAGACAGGCACCCTCACTTCTGGGTATTTGGGCCATAACCTGGGAGGGCTCAGGGCTAGGCCTGTCTTACTGTCTTGACCCAGGCTTGGTAAGTAATGGCCGTGAACTGCAGGGTGATAGTAGGAAAGGTGGCCCGTGAATGCATACCTGTGTGCACATGTGTGTGCTTGCACATTTGTGCATTTACTAGTAAGTATGTGAATACTTGGTCAATAGCCCGGGTTCAAGTTCTGACTCTACCACTAAGGCCTTGGTTTCACCGGCTCACTTCTCTGGGTTTCTGTTTCTTCACTGAAGAGTAATAGTAGTGGTAAAAATAACTACTGGCATTTTAATGGTTTTATAGTTTAAAATCACTTGCATGTCAATTTTCTAATGGAACCATCATTCCCTTTTACAGATGAAAAAACTGGGGGCCTGAGAAGTGAAAGGAGTCCAAGGTTACTCATGGAACGGCAGAGCCAACATGTGAATGAGCCCTGGGCTAACTCGAATCCAGTCCTCCTTCTCTATGCTAGTGGACTGCCTTCGCGCCTTAGGATTCTGCAGCCTGGCTGCAGGTGGGGATTGGGGATTACAGGGTAGAGAGAAATCCCCCTCTTTGTGGGTCAACTATATTTCAATTAAAAAACAAACAGGGGCACCTGGGTGGCTCAGTTGGTTAAGTGTCTGCCTTCAGTTAGGGTCATGATCCCTGGGTCCTGGGAGCGAGTCCCACATCCAGGCTACCTGCTCAGCGGAGAGCCCGCTTCTCCCTCTGCCTCTGCTCCCCCCCCCCCTTTCTGTCTGGCTCTCTCTCAAATGAACAAACAAATAAATAAATGTTTAAAACAAAGGAACTAGAACAAAAATCCAACTTGATGGGACGCCTGGATGGCTCAGTCGGTTAAGCATCTGCCTTCAGCTCAGGTCATGATCCCGGGGTCCTAGGATTGAGTCCCGCATCAGGCTCCTCGATCAGTGGGGAGCCTGCTTCTCCCTCTGCCTGCCGCTCTCCCTGCTTGTGCTCTCTCTGACAAATAAATAAAAACTTTATTTTTTTAAAAAATTTTAATTATTTATTAATGAGACAGAGAGAGAGAGAGAGAGAGAGGCAGGCAGAGGGAGAAGCAGGCTCCCAAGGAGCAGGGAGCCTGATGCAGGACTCAATCCCACGACCCTGGGATCATGACCTGAGCTGAAGGCAGACACTTAACCATCTGAGCCACCCAGGTGCCCATAAATAAAATCTTTAAAAAAATAAAATCCAACTTGGTGTCAACTTTTCAAAAAAAAAAAAAAAAGAAGAAGAAAGAACAAAAGCGCACTCCTTGACCAGCCCAACTCCTTCAGAGACAGGGGCAGAAGTTCCGCACCGTGTGTCAGCACACCAGGGCCTGGTTTTCGTGGAGGCAATCCGGTATAGCAGAAGTTAAAAAAATCTGGGCTCTTGTGCTGGTTCTACCACTGACCTCTGTGCGCCCCTGGACAACGCATGTCAGCTTTCCGCATTGCCGTTTCCCTGGCAGTAAAACATGGAGCCCAATCCCAGAGCTGTCACCACAGCTCTGATAACCTCTCTTCTCGCGGTGCTGCCGCGCAGCCAGTTTTCCTACAGCTGGCGTTATTTATCCTACTGCGGCAGGCACATGATAGGAATTTACACTGACTTGGTTTTTCAAATTTCTGCTCTCCACAGATCCCTTTAAGTGACAGAAGGCAGACTGTGTGGTGAGGACATGAACAGCTCACTAGCTCTGAGGCAAACTGGAATGGCCTGGAACTGCAGCTGGAAGCAGAGGCGACTTGGTTCTCTGGGATGCTTCCCTGCCTCCCTCGGAGCGCCAGTTTGTGGACTTGGCACCAGGTCACCTTTAGGATGCTTGTTGCTATTCACGACTCCCCTCATGCCTCTCTCCAACTGCGGTGGTGGCCAGGGACTCATGAGGAGCTAGATATTATGTGCCGCTGTGGTATGGCAGAATGCGGGTTTTCTGCATCTGACGAAATGAAACTCACATCCTTTCTCCCTGCAGTCATTCAGCACGTGATCCTGGACGTTATTTAACACATTGGAGCCTAAAATTCCTCATCTCTAAAATGGGATAGTATTACTGACCTCACGATTGTTACGGAAATTAAACAATTCTTTCTCCCACCCTCACCTTGTACTTGGTCGAGCCCTTACTTTTTACCCTCCAGAACTCAGGGACAGCAAAGTCCCTTGGGATGAATGGTTCACACTCTTGTACCTGCCAAGCATGAATGAACAACAGTTCGTTTATATTTGTTGGAGTAGCAATAAAAAAAAAATAAAAACTTGTATTTATCTTTCTTAGCTTCTCAGGCATGATTTGAATAGACATGGAACTCACCTGATTTTGCCCAGAAACCATGTGCTTATATTCATTCTAATTTGAAATCATGCACAGAAATAATCTTACAGATCTCCCAAAACTAACCTGATTATAAAATCTGAGCTTGGAAACTTTTTGAACAAACATTTGGACTCAAAAATTACATTAAGTTTATTGCAGGTAGGTGGGGGTTTTTCCCTTTAATGGCACCAAGTGTAGCTGTAGACAGTGTTAGCTGCTGAGCCCACTTTCTCCAGAGTGATCCAGTACAAGCAAAGTCCCCTCTGCAGTATCAGTCTTCTGTTTTCCTGGTCCTGAGCCTTCTCCATCTGAACCACCCTCTATACTGATTGTTGCAGAGAGCTCAAAAATACAAACCTGACCATGTCATTCCACTAAAACCCTTTAGTGACTTCCCACCACCTAGAGGATCAAGTCCAAATTATTCTGCATGATTCAGAAAACCCTCCATAATCTGGCTTACTTTGTTTTGCTTTCTACTAGAACCAGAATAGGCAAACCTTTTCTGTAATGAGCCATATATTAAATATTTCCAGCTTTGCAGGCCATAAGGTCTCTGTCACAACCACTCAACTCTACCCTTGTAGCATGGAAGCAGCCATTGATATGTAAACAGATAAGCATGGCTGTGTTCCAATAAAACCTACTGGCAACACACAAGATTTGGCTCACAGGCTATTGCTTGCCAACTCAGAGCTAAACTCCCCATTTATTTATTATTTATTTATTTATTTATTTCATGGTAAAGTCTGCTTTATTGGTGGCAGTTAGTATAAGTCAATAAATATTGATCCCCAAAGAAGAACTCATTTATTTATCTGGTCCATAGAGAGCTGAATGAAACTGAACCAACTGCCTGCTGAGATGATAAACTGAAGTCGATCCTGCTTCTTGGGAAATGAAGCCATAGCTAGCTGATATATGGCATATGCTGTTGCACCAACTGTAAGGATCATAGTGGCTCTATACAGGAGGGCATCAGCTACTCCACCCTTTAGATGCACTGGAATTCCATTATCCTCCTGAAATAGCTTTTGTTTCTCTGGAACTTTATTTTCAAACTGCCCGCGTGAAGCAGTACTTATGGTCCTCTGGGCAATCTGACGAAGAGCCAGCAGATTCCACATCTTGGCTCAGTTACTATCCACCAACTGCGACAACCGACCACCAGGAACCTATTTATTTATTTTTTTATAATTTTTTTTTGTCTGAGAGAGTGAGAGAGCGAGCGAGCATGAGAGGGGGTAGGGGCAGAGGGAGAAGCAGGGAGCCCCATGCAGGACTTGATCCCGGGACTCCAGGGTCATGACCTGAGCCGAAGGCAGTCGCTTAACCAACTGAGCCACCCAGGCGCCCTAAACTCCCCATTTTAAATCTGTCAGATGTCTTCTTAAAATTGGGTGAATGGAGGGGCATCTGGGTGGCTCAGTCATTAAGCATCTGCCTTTGGCTCAGGTCATGATCCGAGGCTCCTGGGATCGAGCCCTGCATTGGGCTCCCTGCTCCGCGGGAAGCCTGCTTCTCCCTCTCCCACTCCCCCTGCTTGTGTTCCCTCTCTCGCTGTCTCATAAATAAATAAAATCGTTAAAAAAAAAAATTGGGCAAATGGAAACTGATCATTCTCGGATGAATTATTTTTCTTATGACAAAAATGAAGTCAGTGTTCATGATGACCATTTTAATCATAAGGTGTTAACATACAGATTAACATAAGCTTCAGATATATGGAAACATGTACCACCAAATTCAGAAATAACTGGTATCAGTGAAACCAAAGTAAGCATTTTGGAGACTTCAACGCACTGGATGGAATTCTTCAAGAAATTCACCGTAAGTTTTCTTTTCTATAAAGGGAAAGATCACAAAAAATTTACTTTTAAATTATGTTTCAGAAATCATATTTCCTAAAGAAAAATTAACACTTAATATTTTTATAGACATAAACTCCTAAGAATTTCCTTATGTTCTTGTCCTCAACCATAGTTTGGCAACCACTGAGACATTCCGTTTCACCGGATGAAGGATAACTTTGAAAGAATCTGTGGTGACATCCAGATGGCTGCTTGGAGGGGCAAAGTGCTGCTGGGAGTCCTGACTAAAGGGGTAAAGGAAGGAATGAACAGGGAGGGGCACAGGTCAGCTGGGAGGGCCAGGAGTCAAGGTGGTTAAGCTCCAGGTCCCTGCTGTCAGTGCAGGAGGCTGTTAGCACACCTGCCACTAATCTGCAGCTCAGAGACTGAATGAGGCTGTGAGGCGACACAAGCTCGTGCTGACAGAGGGAGCTAGTGTACAGAGGAGGCAAGAAGCCAGAGGCCGGGGACTGAGGACCGCTCCACCACTGTGTCTCGTGCTTAAGAATCAATATTCCCAAGATTCCAACTCTAACACCCAGCAGTTTTGAGTGTTCCCCATCCCTGATACATCCAGTATTCATGGCTTTGTACTCTAGTCTTTGAACTCTTTGTTGGTTAAAAAAAAAAAAAAAAAGCTGTACCTTTTGATCCACCATAAATATCACATATATGACTGAAGGCTATGGGAATATTAAATAATACAATTTTAGAGCTAAACAGGACCTTAGAGACCATCCTTCCATATAATGAAACTTAAATGCTTAATATTACACATTTATGTGAATAGGAAAATCTATTTAAAATCTATATATTTACAAGTTCAAAAATTTTCTGCATTCATTCATTCACATATGTGCACATCTGTATTATCTGTATATATGTAAAATACAAACAATAAAAGAGTTATATTACAATCAAATTTATAGTTGAAGAGCAATAAGTAGAGTGTGCTGAGGAAATTCCTGTTTGTCACTGGGCCAGGGCTTCTTTGAGATGATATGACTCTCAATCTGGAATCTGCTCAGTGGACAGGTAAATCCAGAATTTGCTCAGTGGACAGGTAAAGATGGAACAAGAGGAGGATTAAGAAGGTACAGGATGGGGGCGCCTGGGTGGCTCAGTCATTAAGCGTCTGCCTGCGGCTCAGGTCATGATCCCAGGGTGCTGGGATCGAGTCCCGCCTATCAGGCTCCTCACTCAGCGGGAAGCCTGCTTCTCCCTCTCCTGCTCCCCCTGCTTGTATTCCCTCTCTCACTGTCTGTCAAATAAATAAATAAAATTTAAAAAAAAAAAGAAAGAAAGAAGGTACAGGGTGTACAAAGTGATACACAGCAAGTTCAGGACACAGCGTTTCATGAGGCAGGTTTTTTTTTTTTTTTTAATCTTTTACTTTTTTTTATTTATTTGAGAGAGACAGATAGCGACAGAGATAGCAAGAGAGAGCATAAACAGGGAGGAGAGGGAGAAGTAGGTTCCCCACTCAGGAGGGAACCCGACATGGGGCTCAATTCAGGACTCTGGGTTCATGACCTCAGCCCAAGGCAGACGCTTACCGACTGAGCCACCCAGGCGCCCCCATCCTGTACCTTCTTAATCCTCCTCTTGTTCCATCTTTACCTGTCCACTGAGCAAATTCCGGATTGAGAGTCATATCATCTCAAAGAAGCCCTGGCCCAGTGACAAACAGGCACTTCCTCAGCACACTCTACTTATTGCTCTTCAACTATAAATTTGATTGTAATATAACTCTTTTATTGTTATTTATTATTTTATTTATTTACAATATATATTATATATATTATATTTATATTAAATAATAATAATAATTTATTATTAAAGGCGGGGTTCTGTGTAGATCAGGTCAGCTATTATTTATTGCTTACTAGCAGAGGCTCTGCACTGGAGGCTGGGGAAACAAAGATGAATTTATAGTCTAGTGAGGGAACAGACTCGTGCATGTCACGTGGTGGATAAAAGGCGTGGGCAAAGTCCTTCTGGCAGGCAATTAGCTCAGCCTGGGGAAATAAGCCCTCCTCAGAGTCTGGATTTTATCCTAAAGGCAATGGGCAGCTACTGTAAGCAATCCCTTTTAGGCATATCCACATTTATCCAGAGACCTGATCTTCGGTAAGGTTGAAGGCAGAGGTGAAACGAACGCTAGTGCAAAAGCAAGAGATTATCAGGGCACAGACCGGGGGAGTGGCAGTGGGAATGGGATGGAGGTTTAGAATTGAAAAATACTTAGGAAGTAGAACAGCAAGACCTGAAGACGAATGAGAATTCAAAGAAAGACTGGAAGATGCTTCCCGGGCTTCTGGCTGGAGGAGCAAGGTGGACAGTAGTGCCACTCTCCGGAGCACAACACAGAACAGGAAGTCTGCACAGGCAGAGGGGACATAAATTCTGTTTGCTGCCTGATGGACACAGAGGTACTAGGCCAGAAACTGGATATACAAATTCAAGAGAAGTCTAGTTGATAGGCAAGGATGTGGGAGTCACCAGAATACTGAAGGTACCTGAAGCCACAGGCAGCTGTAAGATTAACAAGGGGCGCCTCGGTGGCTCAGTCAGTTAAGCCTCTGACTCCTGATTTTGGCTCAGGTCATGATCTCAGGGTCCTGGGACTGAGCCCCACACTGGGCCCTGTGCTCAGCAGGGAATCTGCTTCTTTCCTTCTCCCTCTCCACCCTTGTGCTCGCTCTCTCATTCTCTCTCAAATAAATACATCAACACTTAAAAAAAAAAAAGGACGCTTGGGTGGCTCAGTTGGTTAAGCGTCTGCCTTCAGCTCAGGTCATGATCCCAGGGTCCTCGGATCGAGTCCCGCATCGGACTCCCTGTGTGGCGGGAAGCCTGCTTCTCCCTCTGCTGCTGCTCCCCCCAGCTTGTGAGCTCTCTGACAAATAAATAAATAAATAAAATCTTAAAATAAATAAATTAAAATTTTAAAAAATTAAAAAAAAAGAAAGAGGTTTGCTACAGTTAACTTGAAATACCTTTTTCAGGAAAATCCTCTGGATGTGATTTTACATAAGCAAACATATCATGGTCCTTCACAGCATACATATAGTCTTGACGTTTTAAAAGATAATATCCAAT